CACCAACACCAACACCAACACCAACGACAACACCAACGACAACACCAACACCAACACCAACACCAACACCAACACCAACGACAACCACCACAACAACAACAACAACAACAACAACAACAACAACAACAACAACAACAACAACAACAACAACAACAACAACAACAACAACAACAACAACAACAACAACAACAACAACAACAACAACAACAACAAACAAACAACAACAACAAACAACAAACAAACAAACAACAACAACAACAACAACAACAACAACAACAACAACAACAACAACAACAACAACAACAACAACAACAACAACACCAACACCAACAACAACAACAACAACAACAACAACAACAACAACAACAACAACAACAACAACACAAACAACAACACAAACAACAACACAAACAACAACACAAACAACAACAACAACAACAACAACAACAACAACAACAACAACAACAACAACAACAACAACAACAACAACAACAACAACAACAACAAACAAAAAAAAACCAACAACAAACAACAAACAACAAACAACAAACAACAACAAAACAACAACAAAACAACAACAAAACAACAACAAAACAACAACAAAACAACAACAAACAACAACAACACAACAACAACAACAAACAACAACAACAAACAACAAACAACAAACAACAAACAACAAACAACAAACAACAACAACAACAACAAACAACAACAAACAACAACAAACAACAACAAACAACAACAAACAACAACAAACAACAAACAACAACAAACAACAACAAACAACCAAACAACAACAACAACAACAACAACAACAACAACAACAACAACAACAACAACAACAACAACAACAACAACAACAACAACAACAACAACAACAGTGTCATGGAGTTGAACTAGCTCTCTCACTAAGCTTGCTGAGCAGAGGACTCCGGTTGGGTGGTCTAACCCCCTAGAAAAGTGTTGTACCAAACCACGACACTAAGCCACTAAGTCACTAAGCGCTTGCTAAGCACTCGCTAGGTACTGTAGATGCAATCGTATCGCAAAGAACGACATACCAGAGAGGTCAAGTCAAAGCGGGTTCGAGGCCCAATAAAGCATCTGCTGAGAGACTGTCGCTTAGTAAGGTTTCTTGGCGGGGAGGGCGGGGAGGAAACAACTCCATGAATTGAACGTAGTGAACATGAAGCACAAAAAAAACTCTCCCGCCCCGACTCCTGAAGTTTGTTCTTCACCGCAGACAGCTCATCTTTGTGCTGCTCGAGAAAGTGCAAGCTCCCACTCGTTGTGATCTCGCCATACTCGGTCGCCATTGCGTCGAACTTCTCAGCAGCCTCAGCACAGCTCATGAAGTCGCCATCCGGGGATGTATCCGCAACACACAACTCTGCAGCTGTCGTCGCGAGCTTCGCCACTCGACTGGTAAGGGATGTGTCCTTTGCCCGCTGCTCTATTGCGGCAGCAGCTTCTTCCAGAATGGCGATCCCCGTGGAGAAGTTGTTCACCATCTTGGCGAGCTTCAAGCTTTTGTCACCCTTGAACTTCTCTATGTTCGCCCCGAGAAGCTCTACCGGCACTGCCCGATCCATCGGCTTCAGCATAGGCTGCAAGAGCTGCAACTCCTGGGTGATTCCACCCTTCATGTCGGACGCCAACACCGCATCGACGAAAACCTTCATCTCCGCGACCTTGCCGTCCTCGCGAAGCAACGATGCCGCCAGTCTCGTCACTTCACGCTCTTGAAAGGTGGCTCTGCTGAGCTCATTGGAAATGATGCAGGCATTCAAGCCGGCACCTGTTGACAAGATCACATCCAGGACCCCCGTCCAGTCCTTGGCCTTCGCCTTTTGATCCACCTCCCGCTGGAGACACATCTCCAGGAGCTTCGGGCTCACTTGGAACGTCACCTCTCCCGAGCTCGCGTCCTGTAGCTCCTGCGCTTTCTGCTGGATGGCAAAGCCGCTGGCTTCCGGGTTCTGCGCAAGTGCAGCGAAGTCCTTGCCAATGTTCAACATGCGCTGAAGTGTGCGGAGCTTCTCCAGAACGACCATCCCAGGGCAATCCTCCTCGTAGCCTGAGGTGTACCTGCAGGTCCACGATCAAAAGGAAACAAAGGGGATTTAGGACAGGGTTTTAATTAAGTTCAGAGTCTAGGTGAGTCTACAGTCTGGAGTCTGGCTAGCGGCTAGCGAGACATATAGAGTAATATCGAGTTGGAGAACCGACAAACAGCTAAGTCAAGTTTATGGTTTAGAGTTAAAGTTTAGAGTTTATAGATTCTAGAGTTTAGATATGTTTGTTCAGCCTTTCTTGTCTATGAGGCATTCTACAGCACCTATCTGATCCGAGGCGCAGTTTCACAAGCGTCGGAGTGAGCTTCCCCGCAACCTTGTCCACCAGCGATGAGACGAGCTTGGTTTTGACGGTTGTGATGCCCTCGTCCTTCATGTTCTGCAGCATGTGGACCCCATCAAGCACAACCTTCTCCGCTGCTTGCAGCTCCTTCACCTGCTTGGAGTCTTTCGACGGGGTCTCCTTCGCTTCGTTCTTTGGTTTGGTCTTCGGCTTCGGCTCCTTGGTTTCCTTGCTTGCACCCGATGTCCTTCTCCCTTTACCACCCTTGTTGCTGTTCTTTCCCTGGCCGCCCGTGACGTTCTTGGTATCTTCTTCCTCGCCTTGTGACAAATGCTGGTATGGAAACTTCGCACATCATGGGCGACAAGCGTGTGACCCCCTCACCCCTCTTAGGCTAAAGCCCCAAGGCCTAAGGCCCTAAGGCCCAAGGCCTTTACAGGCCATTCACCAACCCATGACAGGCTGGACAGCCCACACCCAACCCGAAGGCCGGCCTTGACAGGCCAATTCCATTACCATCATTACGGGCTTGACAGCCCAGACCCTGTAAGTCGCGCACACAATCGGAAGGTGTTTGAATCAAAGTTTGACAAACAAGCTAGCAGCGCAGCTAGGACTAGGACCTTGGAAGCCTAGTAGAAGAACTTCCTTCCAACCACCCTGTCCTGGCCCCACCCTCCCCGAATGTGCTTCAGACAAGCCCTTCGAATTAGTTCAATTAGGCTTATGCCAGGCTTAAACCGACAACCCAGGAGAAAAAAAGCAACAATCTACTGAATCTACTGTACATTATGATAACCAGGGGCCCACTGTGACCGTCACAGCGTCGAACGCGAAGAGGTCGTCGAACTCATCCGCCCCCTTTTTGCGCTTGTTCTCGAAGGAGAGCGCAACAGCTCCGTCATCCGATGCCGATGAAGTCAACCGGTGGCCTCTCTGAAGCTGGTCCCACTGGTTCTTCACCTCATCCTGAAAGGCTTCTTTGTCGGAGCTGCCAAGGGTTGTCACTTTGCACGCAGTGGATCGCTGAATGTCAAAGATCTCGGTTGTTCCAGCTGGCATGCCCATATCACGCGAGCGCATCACTCCAACCAAAGTCGCGGAGCCTTGGGTAATCTTCGTTATCTCCGTCGGGTTCGGCTTGCGGTTTTCGTACTTCTCGAAGAGGTCGACAGGCCACAGCACACCTGAGAGCAGAATTGCTGGGGCATTATGCCTGGACTTGAAGAAAGGGGCCGACTGACCAATCATGACAGTCTGCTCTCAGCCGAGGCACCTAGTAGCCGTCTCATTTCGAGGCCGCCCTCTTGGTTCTGATTCACGACAATGTTCGGCTGCTCAATCTCCGGGTCCTCCGGCAGGGGCTGTCCCAGTTTGCGCCGTTTGGCCATCGACTCTTGGACACCCTTCTCGTAAGATTCCAAATCGCTTCTGTGGGATTGGAAAGCTTCGTCGTCCTCGGCCAACTTCTTCAGGTAAGCGCTGCGCTTATCCTTGTCGGTCAGAATCTGTGGATCTTTCTTCCTACAGACCCCGATGCAGGGCAGGCACAAGTTGTGCCGATCGCTTTTGAAAGCCAGCAGCGGCTTCCCCGGTACATCGAAGGGGTTGGGTGTGGTTCGTAGCCGCCGGCACACGCGGCACCCCTTGAAGGAGTCGGTTCCCCAGCCTTCTGGAGCCTCGTCCTTGACTGAGCCCAACAGGCTAACAGCATCGCTCCCCGCCGATGATGGAGCCGATGTGCCAAGTGAGCGTTTCCGAGACATTGCCACCGCCTTCGGCAAGTGCAATCTGCACAAAAAGAGCAAATGCCGGATGCACCTGCTCTGGCTAGCTGAGATATGGCCTTCGAGTCACCACGGCACAGCAAAACAGCTCACGTCCCAAAGTAACACACGAGACAAGAAACGCAGTTGTGATCGCGACTATCTCACTTGCAGAAGGAGACCAATCGAAGCAACGACACATTTCTGCCGAATCTTCATTCTGTCCGAGAAAGGATACTGAAGCAGCGCAGTCTGCACGTCCACAACAAATGCATTAAGCACGACATGTTAGCGGTCTTAGCGGCTTAGCGTTTGTAGGTTGGCTGCCAGACTGAGACGAGAAGTTTGGTTATTTAGCGTCCTGTGGACCTTTTGCGGCACTGCAGAATTTATAAAACGGAGCTACTGGCCATCAAAACTTGCGAGGGCAATCTCGTGCCACGACGCAGGTTGCAGTTGCAGCCTTCACTCACGCGATGGTACCTACCACTACATATGCAAGGGCCGCTTCCGGCTTAACGGCTTAACTGCTTAATTACCTGGCTAAGCCTTGTAATTGTAAAGACTCCACAACACCTTAAAGCAACCTACGCTTAGAACTTGCAGGACCTGGCCTGAGGCTAGGAAGCAAAGGAAGGCTAAGCTTAAGCTTAAGGCTTAAGGCTTAAGGCTTAAGGCCTACCAAGTCTTACGGCTCAATAAAGGACCAAAACAAAAGCACGCAAGATTCCGCAAGATGCTATCAAGATAACGGTTAACTGTTAACTGTTAACAATAGACCCGGTAGTGACAGTAGCGACTTGACTAGGACTAGGCCTAGGCCTAGGGCCGGTCTCGTTGCGTGGCGGGCTGGCAATCTGCAACCATCAAACCTCACTCAAAATCGAACAAGTCGTCGTCCACTGGCGTGCAGGAGGACTCCTTCTTGGTCATCATTGCAACAGTCAGCTGCCCTTCGATGGCTCTGTGGATGAGCAGCGCGCAGGCCATGCTATGGGCCTGCATGGCGTTCCCCGCCAGGTTGCGAAGCATCTCGGGCGAAAACTCATCGAGCCGACCTTGGGTTTTGCCAAAATGAAGTCCTTGCAACAACATCGCTTCCAGGCCCGAAACCATGCGACCTCGATGCAGGATTAACTGCTGTCCAGTTGGAAGAACGATGGACGCCCGGTGGCATGGGATGTTGGAGGAGCTCGGGCCGCGCAGGCCCTGTGACATCTCCACTATCGCACATCTGGGGTCAGGCAGCGCCACTCGCATGACCTTGCACAAGTCGAGTTGGCGATCTGTCAATGACAGTAGTCCGGGGTATCGATTGTACGTGGCTTCACTCGGGGTGTTGTTAACCCACCAGTCCACCCCCTGGCGTTGCAATGCCTTCACGTGGGCTTCTGCCCACTTGTTTTTTTTCACTTTGGGTGGAGATTCCGCTCGTCTCTTGAGCATGACCTCGCGTGATCTGTTGAGTTCATCCTTGACTGCCGGGTGACTCTCGTCCAGGATGATGTCATCAAGATGCTTCGTGCTGCTGCGCGACAGCTTGTTGAGGATCTCCTCCACCGTGCTCCTGACAAAGTCCTCCGCGAAGCCAGCCTGCTCAAGTTTGGACTTCGGCCAGCAGATCATGTAGATTCTCTTACGTGACACTGGCCAACCTAGGCCAAGGGGGTCAAGCACGACCGCCTGCATGAAATAGCCTCTGGCGGACATGGCTTGCTTGACATAGTCCAAGTTGGAATGCTCGGGCCGGTGCTCTGAAGTTCCGCTCCGCTTCGGAGGCTCCGCCAACCCCATGACATTCTCCATGATGATGCAACTCACCGGTGGAAACCCAAGAGAAGTGCGTTTGTCCAAGAAGGTCATCATCTCGCCAAAAGTCTTTCCCGTGCGAAGACTTGCATTCTTCACAGTCTCTTGGTTCATCAAGTTCTCTGAGGCACGGTTGAGTCGCGATACATCCTGGCATGGGAAACCAAAGATAAGGTCCGTGAAGTCTGCTGGGATTTCGCACTCCTCCCGGCTCAAGTGTTCTTCAACTTGGCCATCATGGGGACCGGCTGCTGCTAGGTGCTCCGTGCTGACAAAAAGTCGTGCCATGTCGACGTCACCTGTGTGCTTGAACATGGCTTCCAGGAAGCCTCGCTTGTCGGGATCACTCTCGCAACTGAAGACATGCTCAAACTCCAACCGGACTGAGAAGCAAGTCCTGACGGCATCTGCAAAAGCCTTGCCCACAAGCACCGGGGCATCAGTTCCAGAGCATGCTGTTGCCATGCGAATGGAGCCGGCTTTGCTCAAGGCAAAGGCCATGTCGGACTGGTGAGAAGTATTCAAGCGACGGATGGATTCTACAATCCACTGGCGGAGCTGAGTGGAGCCAGTGCTGACGAACGCCTCCAAGCCTTTCTCCTCAATTTCCATTTCCATCTGTGGCAGCACCAGGGGAACGACATGTTCCAACTCGGGCAGGGACGAAGGATCCGGACCCACTGTCTCGGTCCCATTCTCATTTGCAGGCTCGGATTCATCACCACTTCTCCCAGATGCCGCACCCGACTCCGCAGACTCCGCTTCGGACGCTGGATTCTCGGAGACCGCATCTTCACCGTCATCGTTAGGAGTCACATTCGAGCCGTCCGAGCTCCCTGACCTTGGGCTGCTTGCCGCTTCCACGGCCATGGCTTTGGCCGTGGCTTTCGCCTTGGATTTCACCTTGGCTTTCGCCGTGGCTTTCGCCTTGGCCTTGCTGACCGGCTGTCGTTTGCGTTTGCCAGGCATGGCCACCACAAGTGCAGGAGGGCCCTAATAATCCTAATAGCCCTGCTTACCCTAGCAATGTGGGAAGGCACACAGCTGTGATCGCTGAAGCATGCCCGTTTCTAGTCGCATAGGTCTAAGGCTAAGGCCTGGGCCTAAGACCTAAGACCAAGTTTGTGCGCATCCTGCACGGGAATGACATGCATGACATGAGCCTGCCACTTCGAATGCTTCATGCCTTCGGTCATGATTTTCGAGACGAATCAAGTTCACGTGAGCTCACTCAGAAGCCATGTAGCACGAACTCTGCTCCAAGAGGTGGTGCATAGATGTGGACCCAAAACTTGAAACCTCTGGCTTTCGACCCTCTAAACTCTAAACTTTAAAATCTAAACTAAACCGAAACCCATACATTATCGCCACGTCAAAACGTACCTGACTCCATCCAAAAGCACCTTTTACTGGCAAGCTCCCAGACTGAACACAAGCAGCTACGGCAGCTACAGTACAGCATGAAGAAGACCCTCATTCAATGACCAGACCTAGGACCTAGGATCTGCCAAGACCTAACACCAAGTTTACGCGCATCGTGCACATGGGCCTGCCACTTCGAAAGCTTGAATGTGACCTCATCGAAGCCATGTCGCACGACCTGAGCTCCAAGAGGTGGTGCATAGACGTGGACCCAAAACTTGCAACGTCGGGCCTTCGACCCTCTACGCTTTAAAAACTTTAAAATCGATACTAAACCGAAACCCATACATGCCACAAATCATCGCCACGTCAAAAATTTCTAGTGCAGCCTCGAGAATGCATGCACATGTCCGGTCACTGCAGGCCTCGAAAAGGAAGACGCATGCAAAGACCTCGGAGGAGACACCCAGGGCGAACTTTAGAAACTTATCAGGCTGTACAGTCCAAGAAAAGGAAGCCTAGGTCGGGTTTACGGTGAGTCTTAGGGTAAGTCTTAGGGCCTTAGGGTCTTACGGGTTCTATTGCTTGGAGAAGTAAGGTCCGGGAGTTAGCCTTAAGAGGGATTGAAAGGTTTATGTCGTTTATGTAATTAAATACATAAGCGTTGGGGGTTTAGGGCCTTGCCTGCTCTCAGCCCGCACTTGCCTCGGCCATCCGCCGTGGAGTCTGGTGACCAGACGGTGGGTGCCACCTTCGCCTTGCCGGAGGGATGCGAGCAAGATGGCTCTTGGCTCTTGCACCGGGCCCCTGCGAAGTATACGCGTTCAGCGTACAAGACACGTTGGCACGTCCTTTGCGCATGGCCCTCCAACGTGTTGCAGTTTTCTGAACTGGGCCTTGCTACCCGGTGGGCACCGTTTTGCAAACGGAGGCCGACTGCCAGGGCTTGGGCTTATGGCGGTACGCCGTGTCGATTGGTGCGGCATCGAGGAGTGCATTTTCTGTCTTGGGCTGAGAGTTGATGCGTCTCGTGCTCGTCAGCGCAAGCGGCTGCGTTAGCTTGGCTTCCTGTTTTGCTTTTCCGACTGTGATTCGGGATTGCGTCCTTATTCATGACTTCTTCAGGGTATGACACGAGCTTTGTTGTCCGAGGCCTGGAAACCTTCTTTGTGTCCGGCTTCTTGGGGGATCAGGAGCTTGAAGGGAATTCTGGCCACCTGTCCTGTCACGGGACAAATGCCCAAAATAGGCACCTTCGGGCTTCGGGCCTCGACAGGCTCAATGTAGTTTCCGTGTTCTTCAAAGAACAGAGAAACTACTACTAGACTTCCTAGACTTTTTTACTAGACCTTCTTGGAACTACAACCGGAGCCCAACTTAGGCAGCTGCACTATGCAAACCCCACAATCCCCACGATGAATGATTATTATTACCCTAAGGCTCCAAAGAGGGTCTGGGGCTTTCCGGGGAGAGGGTTTCGGCTTTGGGGGCTAGGGTTTGGGATCTCACTACGAGGGTTCAAGAGCATTAGGGTAGCAACAAGCAAGGCCAGGCAAACCCCACAATGAATGATCATTATTTCCACCGAAGCAAGGCTAGGCAACGATAGGAAAAACCAAGGAACACCAACCAATAAGTTGGTAACCACTGCTGCTGCTACTACTGCTGACTACTAGTACTACTAATCAACTACTGCTACGACAAATACTTAGTACTGCTAGACTTAGTAGAAGACTACTAGCCATCTGCGCCCTGGGTGCCACACCCACACACCCGAACAGCAGGGTCGCGGTCAAGAGACTGTCCGAAGCGACCTGGGCGAGAACATGCCGAATGATTTCGGGCTCCTAAACTCATGATCTGGAGTCAAGACGGAGGGCACTTGTTTAACTTCAGCTAAGGGAGCTCCAAGCATAAGCACAGGCTAGCCACAAGCTACACACTACACTCACTACACGCCTGGGAGACTAGCACAGGTTGTGCATCATGGCAGCAAGCCCCATTTGGTCCAATAAGATTCTTCACGAGGGCTACCATCCCGGCTACAGCAAGGCTTAGGACTTCTGGGGCTATACTATATCGTAAAGGATACAATTCAAGCTTTATGCAGGGGGTTAAAGCAGGAGTCTGTAGCTTACGGTAGGGCAAAGGATACCACTGGATAAGGGTCTTCTGGGGCTGTAGGGTTCTCTGAAGGCAGGACTAATTGTCAGAGCATTCGATGCAGAACTTCAACTTGCCTGTGAGGTGATAGTAGAACTGGATGTTTGGGGAGGCGTTTGGGACGTGCTGGGGAGGTGCCGGGGAGGTGTTGGGGAGATGCTGCGGAGGGGCTACACCCCGGATCCTAGTAATGGCTCTACGGCCCCTTTCAAGGCTCTACGACCCTACGACTCTACGGCTCAACGGCCCATGACTGACGCTTGAACTCTAAGACGCTAAGAAACTGGCTACACAGCCACAACCCTGTATCTGTAAACCCCCCTCATTAAGGGGCTATACAGCCCACGATCCTAGTGACTTAAGAAACTGGCTACAGCCCACGACCATGTATCTGTAAGGCCTGCACAGCCCAAACCTCCGTCATTAAGGGGCTATACAGCCCACGGATCCTAGTGACTTAAGAAACTGGCTACACAGTTGGCTACACAGCCCACGACCCTGTATCTGTAAGGCCTGCACAGCCCAAACCCCCATCATTAAGGGCAATTAATTAGGGCTCTGTACAGCCCACGGATCCTAGTGACTTAGTGACCCTTGAACTGCAAGACTCTAAGAAACTGGCTGCACAGCCCACAACCCTGTATCTCTCAACCCCCGTCATTGGCCCACGGCCTAGTGACTTAGTAAGGGCTCTACGGCCCCTTTCAGCTCTACGGCGTCTCTCTGCACGGCCTCTGAGGATCCACCCGATGCGAGGTTGCCCAAGGCCCAGGCCACAGGCACACCCGAAGAAGCCTCGCCGAGGAGTGAACAATCAAAGTGGGCCCACCACATAACCTTCTCCATCAGACCCGTGCTCAACATTCCGCAGTGTCCGAAAAGGTGAAGGTAGGGGGATCGACATGGATCAAGGCAGGTGGGGGGTGAGGGGGGGGGGGGGGGGACAAAGTGAGGGGAGTGGGGGCGGTGGGGGGGGTGGGGGGGGGGGTGGTGGGGGGTTGGGGGAGGGGGTGGAGGGGTGCGCTGCGCGTCGGCGCGCGACGTTTTTTTTTTTTTTTTTACAAAGTAATTGCGAAAATTTGACATCATAATTCTCGCCGCCATGCATGTGAACACTCTGGCGGGTTATGGTTGAAAAACTCTGCGGTTTGGGCGGAACTCTTGTGGTGAAATCTGCGGGTCATGCGGGCAACTTTTTTGTGGAAAACTCGGGGGGGGGGGGGGGCGGGTTGTGCGGAAACTCTTGTGGACACTCTGGCGGTTTGTGCGGAAACTTTTGTGGAAACTCGGGCGGGTTGTGCGGAAACTCTTGTGGAAACTCTGGCGGTTTGTGCGGAAACTCTTGTGGAAACTCTGGCGGGTTATGCGGAAACTTTTGTGGAAACTCTGGCGGGTTATGCGGAAACTCTTGTGGAAACTCTGGCGGGTTATGCGGAAACTTTTGTGGAAACTCTGGCGGGTTATGCGGAAACTCTTGTGGAAACTATGGCGGTTCGTGCGGAAACTTTTGTGGAAACTCTGGCTTTTGTCATCTTAAAACGTGTGCATTCTAAAGTATTAAGCTTTTTTCGTTGGTTTCCACACCATTTCGGCAAATGTTTCCGCAAGAGTTTCCGCATAACCCGCCAGAGTTTCCACAAGAGTTTCCGCATAACCCGCCAGAGTTTCCACAAGAGTTTCCGCATAACCCACCAGAGTTTCCGCAAGAGTTTCCGCATAACCCGCCAGAGTTTCCACAAGAGTTTCCGCATAACCCGCCAGAGTTTCCACAAGAGTTTCCGCATAAACCGCCCGAGTTTCCACAAAAGTTTCCGCACAAACCGCCAGAGTTTCCACAAGAGTTTCCGCACAAACCGCCAGAGTTTCCACAAGAGTTTCCGCACAAACCACCAGGATTCTCACAAGAGTTTCCGCATAACCCGCCCGATGTTCCACAACGTTTACACACCAGTTTCCATTCAACCCATCCGAGTTGTCCCACAGTTTCCGCATAGGCGGCCCAAGTTTCCACTGAGTTCCAACAATGGACGCATGCACAACCCTGACACGTGAACGTTAAAGCTCTGTGTAAGAATCAAGCCTCAAGCCCTCAAGCGGACTGAAACCGAGTGTTATCAACAGTCAGAGTCATGTCGTCCATCAGCCTCGGGAGTCGGAAGTCTGCCGAGCCGGCCGGAAGCAGCAATGGCAGTAGTTGGTCGACCTCGTTTTAGGGTCGAGGGCCAGGGTCAGGCAGTTGTGGAATGTATTTTGAATGCATCATGTCTTCAATAAGTGCTGTTGACTTTTCGCTTGGGGCTTAGGCTTGGGCCTTTTTGAATTTAAACGAATAAGTTTGCACATGATTGCATTCAGGCTTCTGTCGTTGAACACACTCACGAAGTGAGGGCCTGCTGCACCAGGTCTGTTTGGAGATTATGGTTTCCCAAGGCCCAGACCAACGG